CCCTCTTGAATAGGCCTTTGGATAGCGGGGAGAGTATGTGTGCGGACACCGACCAACTCCCGGCGCTCTCACCAAAAATGGTGATCTGATCCTTATCTCCGCCAAATGAGTGGATGTTTTCTCTAACCTAATATTATGTCATTAATTAATAAATTATTTTATTAATAAATAAAAATTATAACTAAAACAAGCGATCAATTGATACCCATTTGAGAGCCAATAACTGGTCATAAAAGCCGACATTTCCGGGCGCGTCCTCCCGATCCCCGTATAGGAAACCAAACGGTCCTAACCTATAGTTTGTCGAGACAAACACCACATCATGTGTTACCAAAACACTGCCATTAAACTCTTGCTGAAATATTGAGCCCACACTAAGAGCGCCTCCGTGTATCCAAAACATCACTGGCTTTAATGCTGTGGTATTTGTTGTCCATATGTTAAGCACCAGACAGTCCTCATTTTGATTAATATTCATAAATGGGTAAATCATTTGCATACATGAGTTCTTGGGTTTTGTCGCATCGATTATATCCTATTAAAAATTTATTTAAATTTCAAATTATTAAATTTGGTTATCGAGTATAACATTATATATATGTATTTTTTTAAAACTTACGGGAAATGGTTTAGAAATGGGTTCGGGTTTTGCGATGGATACAAACGGCTGGCCCCCAAGCCGCATACCTTACGGGTGTTTGACTAGGTGTAAACACAGGTTGTGTACATCACAGGCTGGGCTCACTACTCCTATACTCGTCGGAACATCAATACTGTTCACATAAAAAATATAATAAATACTAAACATAAAAGTCTTAATAAATATCATGTTTATTATATATTTTTAAAATTTTATTTATATAATGGTTAATAATTTATCAAATAGTGGTTTTATATCTATGATTACAAAATAACTAAACATTTATATTCAATGCCAAATACGGATGACCTTAAGATCTATCATTTTATTAATAAACTATTGGTTAAACTATCAATACATAATCAAATGTTTATAAATAAATATTATTATTATTTAATAGCAATAATTATAAATTACAAGTTATAATTTCTAACATTTATAATATACTGTATAACTTATATGGCCAAAATGCGTGTATCATCAGCCCATGTATGTGCTGATCCATAAGTATCAATTCAATTAGTACTACAGGTGAAAGATTTTATACGACACACATATTAAGCAAATTATTTATTTGTAAAATGTGTTATTAAATTTTATAACATGTGTTTAAATGTTTTATTTATATATTTTTATTGTAGAATTTATTATTGTATAATTGAAATGAATCTTAAGCGAAAATGTTTACGGTTTATAAATACATAATAAAATATTATTGATGTAATAAGAAATGACAAGACTTTGTAATAATCACCCACATGGATTATATTTACATTATATAACATGCATTTAAGAAGTATGATTGTACTTAAGGTGTGATCGCATCACTTGTTGTAACAAACCGTTGATTACAGTTATTATAAATACATTTATGGCTTTAATTTCAGATGTCTTCGCAAATGATTTGTTAAATCGCCTTTTTGTGTAAATCCTTTATTACAATCATTAAAATGACAAACAAATGGTTTTTCTCCCGAATGCATGAGTTTATGACGAAAGAGAGCTCGTTTTGTAGTCAAACCTTTGCCACAGTTTTCTTCATTACATTTGAATTTTCTTTCATTCAAATGAACACAACTTTTGTGTTGAATTAAACTTGATTTCTGTTTAAAACTTTTGTGGCATTCATTGAAATCACAAATTAGTGTCACATTTAAATGAACGCTATTTTTGTGTCGAATTAAACTTGTTTTGTGTGTAAAGCTTTTAATACAATTATTAAAATCACATTTATATTGTTTTATTTCTGAATGAATGAATTGATGTAAAGTTAAATAACTTTTCGTTATAGTTTTGTATTGACATTTAGGCCAAAAACAGTGAAAATAATCATCAGATTTAGTAATGATATGACAATTGTTTAGCATTTTATCACTGATTTTACATGAATTGCAATCANTTTATCACTGATTTTACATGAATTGCAATCAATTGTTTGATTGATTGAAAAATAATCATTATTTTCGCATTCAATCGCTTCACACAAAACACTATTATTTGTATTCAAAATACACTGAATTTTGTCTATTATTTCACACAAACTCTTCATTGCATTTAATTTACTCTTCATTTCAATCAACGAAACACTCATTAATTTTGAACACATTTTAAACAATAATTATCACAAATTTTAAATAAATAGAATAATGTAATATAAATTCACATTAATATAAACTCATTGTAAAGTTTATATTTTACAATGTATGGCAATGTCTAATATCCGGATCCTTTTGTTCAACTGCTCTCAGTTTATATTAAATACCTGTTTATATGATATTTATTATCAAAACATATCATTCTGTATGTGTTGTCAACAACTGAACAGATATGGTATGTAAAGTAAGGATAAAAAGGGATAAACATTTCTCTCATATGGTGAGAAATTAAATACTTATACAAAGTATTTTAATATCCAAACATTATAAACATCAAGGTCATAAACAATAACTAGTTTCTTAATTTGCATTTTATTTGCTTACATATGATTAGGTTAAATATACAATAATAAATGTTTATAAATTGACATTTAATTAAATCAACTTGACAAAACAATAAATTAACTTGATAGGATAATTATCAAATTAATTTTCTATCATAAGTCTAATTACTGTCAATTATTATACTCATAATATCAATCATATAACACAACAAAACACTATTGAAATTGGGAAATACCGGACCGGATACGGGACGGGGTATTACCGGTCCTTTTGAGCATCAGTTTGTTCTTAGCATGTTTTATCTCATTTGCAAAGCCGATCAACATTTGTTCAAACACTTCGGTTGACGCGCTGTACCATCAGGTGATGTGTCACATGTAAATCAATTATAATACACCATAAATAATGTAATTAAAAATACTTTAAATAAACATGGTCATTTTAATGCTCATGTCATACCTCGTTGTCTCTATTTGTGACCATTTGTCTGTAATCGCCCGCAACTGATCCCGAAATCCGCTCAACAATAGCATAGTGTCTGAATCAGTGGCCGACTCCTGAGTCCAGGTTCTTGTCGACGATCTGATCCCAAGAGTTTATAATACAAATATATATATATAACATCTATCATGTGATCTTAGACTACCATAGATGAGATAATACCTCGATGTTATGGATGAGCCACTGAACAAACTGTTTAAGACACTCATGTCATCGACGGTGAAACGACTATCACTAGTATTTACGCTGGATGTCAGGGAACTCATGTCTTCAGCGATCGGTTTGCTGTCCGTAACTGTCTTTTCCTTATTCCTCGACAACTCTGTCATCAACTGATCCAACGATTGGTTTGTTTTCTTTAATTCGCCGCATATTTCCGACAATATATCGCAGGCGTTGTTGTCATCAATAGTTTTACGGGAAATGTTATCCAACGAGTCGATGGACACCCTATCGGCGTCGGCAATGGTAGAGTGACCACAACACTCATTGCCATTACTTATACTGTAAATAGTTGTTTAACAGATTAATAAAATTTTTATTCGCATTATTGATATAAAAAGTAATATAATTGACTGATAAAAACCTTGTGGTAAAATTATTAGCCATTTGTTGCCATTTAATAAATTCAATGTCCATTCGTTTAATGAATTGATCCAATCTATTGGTTAAGCTAAACAAAAGATTAATAATTATATTGTAAATAATTAATATCCATAACAAAGTGCCATGATAAATTTGTAAATATATCACTTACCCATTGTTGAGCTCCGAGATCACACCCGGAGCTTGTATATCACTCGTTACGTCTTTATTATCATAAATCTCGACAATGTCTGCGCCGGTAATCCAATTGACGGGACAGCCGTCGGGCAGTATATACCGGTCGGCCGACAACTGGCCGGCGCCGGACACTAGTGCCAGAAAATTTCGACCCTCGCGATACAGTCCGCTGGCCGTCAACTGTCCCTTAAGTTCGCCGATTGTACGCACATTAGAGCCGATCACGTGCTTAAAGGGTTGGCCGCCGGCACTGAACGCGGTTACCCTGATGTTTACAAAACGCTTATTGTTCAACATGGTTGTTATTTTTGTTATTTTTACAGATTTACTTGATGATAGCACAAAATTATTACAAATATAAAATTAAAAATTAATCATTTATAATGCGTTGATGACAATTATTGAATGTTTGAGTAATTGAACACGATTAGTTAGTCGTGTGTGATTTCTAATTGATTAATGTAAAGTTTACAATAATAATCCATTCAATTTTACATAGTCTGAACTAACTTATTTTGAATACAGTATTAATATATTTAAAATGAATAATGTAGGATTCATAATGATAAAATTTTTCAAGTTTATGGCATAATGCTTTTAGTTATCAATTCTCGATAAGTCAGTTATTATATGAATTAAAAATTGGTGCATAATCAATCAAGTTACAAACTACCAATGGTCAATTAGTCTGTATGAGAATAACCGCGTACGTGCTGGATATATTTAATGTGGTAAAAAAACATCCTGATATCAACGCGAAATATATTGGCCGCCCTAAACACCAGGCGCTTGCGGGCCACCTGAAGCACTAGATCATACTGTTGCCTATCATTATGACCATTACCAAAATTACCCTGCTTTGCATCACTACCACGTTTACCAAGCGTAGCGATACGACCTTCAGTAACCGAGCACAGGGTGTCCGCCGCGTCTATTATACGCTGCGATATATAACACGTGACAAACTGATCGCAAAGCACCGGCACCAGGATTAGTATCAGGCTTATAATGGCGCCCGTGTCCATGGGTTGCCTGGTTAAGTTTTGCGCCAAACTAAACATCATGGTAGATGTGTAGAGACCGCAGTAGAATATTTTCAGGTGCAGGGCGTACGTGATATATGTGTCCATTTTAGCCATGGAGTCCCTGATCTTGATTAAATTGCGGCTAATTTGGTCGACCTCGGTGCCGGGCAGTTGCATTAGCTGGGTTTGCTCCTTGATTTTGGCCACGTACAATTCCGATGCTATTGATAGTACCACGGTCAATGAAACAGTGTTGAAAGCGAATGCGAATCCGGTGCCAACGCTTAGTCCCACTGATATTATGTACGTAGGTGATGTAATCTAGGTAATTTATAAATTAAATTATAACAATAAACACACTGTAATAATTAATTAATAGATGTTAATTAACCAATATATTTATAATCAAAAGTTTACCTTGTAATTTGCTAACATAGTATCAGTAGCACCCAATACACCTTGGGCCGATGCGAAGCACATGGTAATAAAAACTATGTAACCCATGATGTATTTGTAATTGATTTTAGTATTATTGCTAATACTATCAAATAGGCCGTCAATATGATCGAGTAATTGGTGGCCGTTTTTCATCAGGATCACTTTCATAGCAAAAAACTGTACCAATGTTAATGTACTTGCCACATTAACCAAACCCTGGCTAATAACGCTCCGGGATCTCATGTTAAACACCCTGTCCTCCAAATGTATCCGCGTTTGGTTCGTAATCACCATAAATACAATCCATAATAACACTTCATAACAGATTAATATATTTCGTTTAACAACTGAGTAACTTTTCTGTGTATTTGAACCAAGTACAGAATTTGTGACATTTTTATTATGGTTATTTTGACGTATATTATTGTCACGATTCCAACCGCCAAATGTGATGCCAAACAATTGATTAAAGTAAATAATCCTGGTAAACGTGGTGTTATTTATCGCCATTTTTAAAGTAACGTAATCCACTATCTGCTATCTGGAATATTTGTTTACCATCTTTATGATATTATGAATTTTACTTGGCATTCACTTTAGTCCAATTTTTATAACTTATAAATTATAAGTTTTTTATTTTTTTTATTATGTTCATAAAAATTAACATTTTATTAGCTCAATACTAATTGCGTGTTAGCTAATAATTTATTGGAATATTGCATTATTGTACTAATACAGTATTGTTTGACATTAAATATATTAATATATAAAAGATGTTACATAGTTAGGGTTGCCAGAAGCTCCCGGTTGCCCGGGAGTCTCCCGGAATGAAGGTCCGACTCCCGTCTCCCGGCGGGGGTCTCACCTTGATATGGGGAGCTCCCGGAATTGCATGATGGTGAATACATTGATAAAATTTACACTTTTTGTTTGGAAAACTGCTATAAAGATGTAAACAACAAGTATTGTATTTACAATTAAAGTTTTTCTTAATTCACAATATTTCATTTGTCGAGAATCACAGAGAGTGCAGTAATTTAAATGAATAATGTCAAAAATAACCTAGATTTAAGCGTCATTTCGAGTTTGGAGTGATTATTTTGATTATTATTAAATGTTAAAGCCATTTTTGGATTATTTTGCCACCTCAAGGAAAGAATCAAGGAATTCTTTAAAAAATCTCAAGGAATCTCCCGGAAAATTTACTAAAATAATGAATATATCAAGGAAATAGAGAAAATGACCTGGCAACACTATACATAGTGGTAATTTATTTTATTTTTTATGTTATATTTTATTGCTGTGCATGCATTAGATTGTGTATTATAAAAAATCACATTAAAATAGTAATAATCATTTACATTATAACAGACATAATAAAAAATATACCAAAAATATCAATAGTTTTATAATATATTTTATTATAATTTATTAATTCAGTGAAAGTTTATTTTTATTTTTCTATTTAATGCAAACTTAAATCCTATTTAAAATTATGCAAATAAGTTGGTTGTACTAATATTGAAACTAATACTAATACTTAATTCTTGGTAAAAAAAATATATTATTAATTTTGTAAAATAGTAAAATATTATAATTTATAATTAAGTATGAATTATTAAATATTAAACTTGTTATGAATAAAAATTATTCATATATATTATTCATATAATTAAGGTATTTTAACACAAATAAGGCATTTTCTACTCATTTATAATGATTTTGAGTCTATTTATTGATTATTTTATACTAATTAGTATTATTAATACTCACTCTTTGCTTATTATTATAAGTATTGCTAATTATTCATTGTTTATGACTATTATTTCGACTAATTATCAATTATTATTTCAATTACTAATCAATTTCCTATTGGATTAACCAATGATCATACGATCGCTACGATTGGTTAATTTATTTCCTAAAAAAGTATAAAAGACAGAGTATATTGTATTTTCATTTCAGATTATTTTGTATACCCTTATTGTAAACTTAAGTCCTTATTTGAATAAAATATTGATTAAACAATGTTATTGTTTAATAACTAGTGTCTTAGCCTAACAAGCCGTAGGCCGGGACCGATCGGGA